GATGCCTAATATGTGTAATAGTATTTAACCCTTTGTCTATAGCTAAAATAGCTACAGTATTGTTGAATTATTGTAATGTTGACTTCCTCTGTCTCTGCCACTGTGCACACCCCAGGGCATGGGGGAGCATCCCAGGGGCAATGTGGGCAGCCCGCTGTGGCTTTGGGGCTCCCCACCCTGCTGCCTTTCCCTAGGGACCTCCACATTGGTTGTGCACCCCCTGCCCACCTGGCAGCAGGGCGGGTGGGCAGTGGCAGCGTGCAGTTGTGCCCCTCACTGCTGCCAGGTAGGCAGGGGACATGCAGCTGGCACAGGGCTCCCAAGGGAAAGGCAGCAGGGCAGGGAGCCCTAAGCCTGCAGCGAGCAGCCTGCATCCACCCCTGCTCCGCTCAGCTCTGCTCCAGCTGTGCTGCCAGCGGGAGAGGGATGTGTCCCGCCTTTCCTTTTTGAATAGGTGCTCACCCTCGGGCCAGGCTCCTCCTGGTCCTCACAGCTGGAGGGCTCAGATTTGTCCCACTTCTGTGGCCTTCCCCAGCTGTGTTTCCTTTGTGCTTACCCCCACGCCCCGTCCACTGTGGTCCCAGGGGTACCTGAGGCCGTGCTTAGCTTCCTAGAGAGCGATGGGACCAAGTCCCTCCCCGGTCCAGAGTGGTACTAACAAGCCAATAGTGTGAGGAAGGGTTGGGGGGGGAGAGAACCGGTGTCCCTGGAGGGAGCCTCTGGGCCACGCAGCCAAAGGGACGTAGGGCAGAGACAGGACAAGCCGAACCTCCCTACCGACAGCCACACGCCTTTGCCACCATATTGTGGAACATCTTCACCTGGGGCCCCTCCTCGCTGAGCGTGATGATGGTCTGGTCGGAGTACTGGACGGGCACGCAGCAGGGGCCGCGCTGCAGGGGCACGCCTCGCTCCTGCATGTCCAGCAGCAGCACCGTGTGCGGGTAGTAGACGGCGCGGGTGGAAAGGGGCAGGCGGCAGGGCCCCTCGCAGTTGTTGGCGACGTACATGTCCGGCACGGCAACGAACTTGTAGTGGCTGATGTCCACGGTCAGCTCCCGTAGCCGGCACGAGGCCTGGTGCCGCGCGCTGCGGTTCTGCCACAGCACCTGCCGGCGCTCCCGCCAGTGGGCGCGCACCGTCTGCAGGGCCTTGAGCAGCAGCAAGGTGTGCAGCTGCCGGGGCCCGCGGAGCTCCTCCGGCAGGGGCGTCACCAGGGAGCCACTGCTGCCTGGCCCCGGCGGGTAATAGCAGAAAGCCAGAAGGTGCTGGAAGAGGCCGGCGTTGGCTTGGAAAGCAGGGATCTCCCTCAGGTCCTGGATCACGGCCTGGAGCTTCTCCAGCAGCAGCTGCAGCACCCTGCCTTCCAGCCGCCAGTGCCTGAAGTGGTGCTCCAGCAGCGCCTGGCTGTTGTGGGGGAACAGCAGCAGCAAGGGCTCCTCCGACCGCACCAGCCGCTCCAGGGTTGCCTCCTCAGAGAGGTTGAGCTGCTGGTGAGGAAGCGACTCTGCTGTCTCGACGTCCAGCCAGTGGTGGACCCTCGAGGCAGGCAGTGGCTCCCCCGAAGAGCCCAGGATCCTACTGACGAACCTGGTGAGGCTGCCCAGGAACTGGTCGGTGCCGCCAGGCGCCAGCGTTGAAGTACGGGCCTGGCCAGCGGCTGAATCAGGCTCCTCAGCCCTGCCGGCTGGGGCCGAGCTGTGGGGAGGCACAGAGGGGGTCAGCAGGGGCACCGCTCTGCAATGGGCCCAGGGCTCCTCAACCCCAGGTGGCCAGCAGTGGGCAGAAGACTTTCCCCATGCCCACCCTGCCATGGGCGCACAGCCACAGGGACTGTCCAGCCTGTGTTACAGTCCCTCTGGCACAGCCTGACCGGTAGGTGTAGAGACCTTGCCCCACTGCGATCACTTCCCCTCCAGGCCCAGAGGGTCACTCCCTGGTCAGCACCCACATGGCAGCCGCCCCCGTTCCAGACACTTGATGCATCGGTTGCAGCCCTACAGCTCCACGGGCGACTTGGCGGCCTAGTCCCCCCAGCCCTCCGAGAGCATCGGCCACTGCAGTGCAACAGGCCAAGCCGGGGCTGCGGCAGGCAGTGCTGGCCTGAGGTTCAAGCAGGCAGCTGGCATGGTCTCCGGGCAGGGTAAGCTGCCCACGCCCCTCTGCCAGGGTACGATGCCTCCCCCCTCATTCCATCTCTTTCAGGTTCCCTGGTAGTGCCAAAAGGTCACGCACCTGGGCTGGGGGTAGGGGACCGTCTCTACCACCCCAGCCACCGACAGGAAGCGAGAGGGGTGCAGGCCATCCTCCTCGCGTCGCGGCTTTGCCAGCAGGAGCACGACCGGGGTCATCCTGGTGAAGCACTTCTCGTCAGAGCCGAAGAGCAGCTGCTGGACTTCTGCTGGGGGTAGGGAGGAGCCTGCCAGCAGTGGGGCAGAGAGAAGCGAAAGGGTGAGCAGCAGCAGCCAGGTGTCCCTCCAGCCACGGGCCTCCACCCAGCCCCACGGCCATCTTCACAGTCCAGATGGGGCCAAGATGATGGAGGCATCGGGAGATTCCCACCAGTGACTAAGTCAGGAGTAGAAAGAGCCCAGGAGCCCGGGGCTGCATCCCCTAGGCTGTATGCTCCTCACTGGGCTTGTGCCTCCCCATCTCCTTGCTGGCACAGACAACCCCTTGGCCCACATACCTCCATCACCGGGATGCTTGACCACCAAGGCGACTTCAAAACCAAACTGCCTGTGCGTGTGGGTCACAGATGTCACCAAGGCCCCAAGGACCAGGTACCGGGTGTCCCTGGAGAGGCAGAGAGTCTGCAGAGAGAGGAGATGCCTTAGAGATGCTTCACAAGCCAGGGTATGACAGGGGGAGGGAGGAGGGTGGGGACCCCCTCCCAAGACCAGCAAATGATCCCTGCCCTCTGCTACACGAGGCAGGGTGATTAGTGTGACCCTCAGAGCTGAATGAAGGCCCCCTGGATACAGCGGGACGAAGGGCAGGGTGGGAGGCGGAGGCCCCGACCGCAGAGCCGAAGGCAGCCTAGCGTCAAGCGCCAACCCTTAAATGGTGAGTAGCTGCTGGAGGCATGGGGGGCACAGATCCTCCAGCTTGCCGGTGGCCACGTCCAGTGCCTCTCGGGCCTGCACGTGCACACGAGAGCAGTGCCACGTGCCCCTAGCTGGGAGCCTGGCTGGTGACAGTGCAGACACCAGCCAGCTCAGCTTATCAGGATTGGAAAACGCTGGAAAAATCCGGCCCCGCTGGAGTGACAGGAAGGGGCTCCAACACGAGCAGGCTCAAAGCATTCACACCCCCACACCACTTGTGCAGCACTGAAGCCCACAGCCCAGGGAGCCCTGGCCGAGCAAAGCAGCAGGCTGGGTTAGCATGCTTTATACGTGCGCTGAGAGGCTCCCTGTTGACTTTCCCTTGATTCGGACTCAGTGTCCCCTGTGCAGACAGCAGCTCCCTGCAGCTGCAGCCTCCCCAGCGAGAGGCACAAGCAGGCGGCTCTCTCCCTGGCAGCGGGATACCGGCAGATCCGGGCTGCCCGTGCACAGGAAAGGAGGGCCAGGCTGAGCCCCCCTTTCTGGCGACAGCAGCATTGCGAGGTGCACAGAGCCTTGTGGAGGGGGTGGGGAGTTAACATTCATAGATCCATAGATGCTAGGGTCAACAGATCAGCGAGTCCGACCCCCTGCCCTGGGCAGGAAAGGGCGCTGGGGTCAGATGACCCCAGCCAGATGCCTCTCCAGCCTTCTCTTAAAGACCCCAAAGGTAGGGGAGAGCTCGCTTGGAAGCCCCTTCCAAATTTTGGCCACAAGCGGTTCCTAAAAAATCGGTGCTTAGCTGAAATTAAGGGACGCTGCACCCTGTCGTGCCCTCCCCCAGCAGGAGTGGGGAAAAAAAAAACAGGCCACTTATTTTGGTGCTTGCCTAGCAGCTAGAGCCGGATTCCCCACGGGCTTTTCTGGACTGTTTTGCTCTGAAAAGCATTCATTAAAATAAAACAGCGGTTCTTTATCCCCAAGCTCTGGCCCTGGGCGTGGAAGGATCCAGGCTAGTGCTGCTCCCCACCGCGTCCTTCTCACATATCATCTGGGGACGCCTCCATGATGTGGCAGTTTAGGGCCAGCCCGCAGCCTCCCCCACCCCGTGCCAGCGACGGCGGCAAAGCTGTGCAGCATTTTCCAGGGGGCTGAACTGGCCTGCAGGCCCTTTACAACGGCACTGAAGCACGGGAAGGAAAAAGCCATCCCTGATGCTCAGGCCCTGACCATCCTTTGCAAGGGGGGCAGAGCAGACAGACGGGTACGGCTCCAGCTCCCTCATGCCTCTACGCCCAGGGCGCCTGTGCTTGTCCCCTGCCGATGGCCCAGCCAGGGCTGCCGGTAGCCAAATGAGGCTGCGGAAGAGCACGTTTGACCTGGAGGCCATAGACAAAGAGCCCGGTGAGGCTGCTGCATCAGTCACTCTGCAGATCAGGGCCAGGCTTAAAATACACCAGGGTACATGTGTGCTTGAAGTATGGAGTCGGATGAAAGCAGAGCAAACAGCTACGTGCCTGGCAGACGGGGCTGGCGCACCTCACTACCTGGTAACGCGGGGCCCAGCCCGCACCCCGCTTCCCCTGGAGCAATCGCTGCCTTCCCTGAGAGCCCTGGGGCTCCCGAAGGCGCTGAGATGCTGATGGTGAACCGATGGCTAGCGCTCCCGCTGCCCCCACCGCACGGAGCCGGGGAGCTGTGTGCCAAACCAGCCACGGAGCATGGGAGTGGTGCTGGCTACAGGCACACAGGCCCCCAGCCCCTTTGTCCTCTCTGTAGCAGCCAGTTCAGAAGACAGGATAGCAGCACCACCTGCCGGCACGCGGGACGATGCAGCCAATCTCCCTCAGCTCCCATCAGGGCGCCCAGAGCTGCCCCAAGGACGCAGGGGAGGGGGTGGGAAAGGCTGTGTCACAAAACACGCTGCAGTGCACCGAGCAGGTCCAGGCTGACTGTGCTCACCGGTGGCAGGACCCGGCCCAGCTCCAGGGCGTGAGACGCGGTTGGAAAAGAAAGCCCTCCCAGCAGGCGCTTTCCAGCCTCCTTGCTGGCAGCTTCAGTGGGGGCACCAGTGAATGTGGAGGTCTCAGGTCTGAGCCCAGCTCTCCCCAAACAGTGATGCAGCGGGAGGGGTGTTGAGTAGGAGTGTCCCCCTGCCACAGCCCCCCAGGCCATCCCCAGCCAGTGCATATACACGAGGTCCATGTGCGTCTGGCCAAGCCACCTACCTGCTTCTGGTCCAGCCCTTTGCCTTCTGCCTGGAGCATCTCTCTGGCCTTGATGCCTTCTCTTTCTCTGCGTCCAGGATAAAAGACCAGCACAGCAAACTGCAGCTGTCCGAGCGACCAGCCCATGTCCTCTCGAAAAGGCAGCTTAAACCTGAGCTGTGTCTCAGTGCCCCACGTCACTGCCAGAGAAAGGCCAAGGCAGACAGCATGACTTTCTGGCTGGGAGGAGAAATGTTCCCTGGCAGCAGTCACCCGTAGGACCCCGGCAGCTTTGAGGAGCAGAAAGTGTCAGAAAGTGATACCCAAATCCAGCGACGCTCGAGGAAACAGCAAGGGATGGGGGACTTGGCCTTTTTTGTGGCAGGGCAGAAAAGAATTAATGGCTGGGCTTTGGAGGAGAGCTTCCCATGGGTAGGCTGATCCACAATTTACACAGCAGCATTACTTCAGCCTCCTCTTCAGGGGGTGCTGGAGTAGCTGCCCCCCTGCTCCAGTCCCACAGCCAGGTGCCACTTTAACAAAACCCCTGCTTTTGCTAAACATTTTTGTAACCAGCTCCCTCCTGCCCCTTTGCTCCTGGGATCCTTCCAGCAAGTCGTCAGAGTGGCCTCTGTGTTACACGTGAGTGCTCCGAGTTGGAATACGGTGCCTTTTGCACCAAAGCTAAAGGAGGATTATTATTATACTGCTGTATAGGGCCTATGCCACATGGTTGTTACAGTTCCATCCAGCTGAGGGCAATGCCCCCCCCCGTCCCGTGCCACGTGCACACCTGCACCCAGCCCTTGACAGCCCTAAAATTCCTCCGCCCTCACCACATCCTCATCTATCTAGCTCCTCCACACTCGCATCTTGTCTTCCTGACTTTCAAACATGCCTGGTACCCATCAGGAGACAGCTCTTGGCACCCACAAAAGTCCTTCCACTCCACTTTAGCTACTTTAAACGCGCGGGACCTCCTGAAGTCTGCCCCTGAAAGATGCTTCTCAAGGGAGACGGGGTGGTCTCCAAATGCCTTGTCCCAAATGCATTGTCTGGCAGAAACCATCCCAGAAACAAGCTGCTCTTGCAAGATGAGGTCCCCCCAGCCCTGGGACTTGCAGAAACTTTAAAAATAAACCACAGGCAAACTGGGGGCAGAGGAAGTTACTCAAAAACTGCAAACCACAGAGCAAGGTGAATGGCCCATCTGAATGAGAACGCCCTAGATCAGGAAGAGAGCGCCAGCTCTCCCCACTGCCTGCCTCAGCTTCCCCAATGCAAAACAGGGAGCTTGACATGGACTCACCTTCGCAAAGCCCTTGGAGTCCCCCCCCCCACCCGGCTCTGAGCTAATGAGAGACAGGTTTTCTGTTCAGAGCCCTGATTTGAGCTGCTTTGATCAGGGAACACCAGACACCTGTGAGGTCTGCCAGCTCTGCAGTGCAATGTGCAACTTCTGCAGCCAACAGCCACTTTTTGACACTGCTGCTGTGGAGGGGGCTGGATCGGGGGCAGAGAACAAATTACTCAGCCTTTCGGTTTCCAAGCCTGGAATTAAGTGGGGGTGCATCGGCGAGATACCATCTCTGAGCAAGGATAGATCCTCTGCAGCACAGGGCTGAGGCACGCTGCAGAGAGAAGCACGCAGCACACATTACACAGAGCTGCTGCTCATAGCACCTCTAAGCAGACCAAGGTAAAGTCTAAAAGGAGGGACAACACGTTGGCCCAGGGCATCGGGGCAGCTGGAGCAGCAGGAAGGAGGCAGACACCTGCTCAGGGGGCAATTAAGCAAAAGGGCCCTAAGGATTTCCTTCCCTCCTTCTGCAAAGAGCAGAGCAGAGTGGACTTTGTACCAGGCCCAGATCCAAGCAGGAAGCTGCCCAGCATCACAACCGCTGTCCATCAACCCCTCGGTCCCCTTGGCCATCCCCAGGTCCCCTGCACCTCCCTTAGGCTCCTCGGGAAAGGTCCCAATCTTCAATTGCCAACCTCCTGAGGAGGAAAACCAGCCATCTTCCTTGATGTAAATAGAAACCCCCACTTCGAATCCCACCAGCAGTTTCCAGGCAGGGATCATCATCAAGCATCATACAAATAACTTTCTGCTCCTGTGGGGAGACAGGGTAGAATTATTCCTATTTTACAGGTGGGGAAGCAGAGGCAGGAGGGATTTGACTTGTCAGACTTCAGAGTGCTCTTTGGTGTAAAGGTCATCTCATCTCCCAGTTCGTACAGCACCTGGCACAAATAGGCCCTGCGCTCTGCCAAGGCATCACCTCAATTGATGGAAGAAAATTTGTGGCAATGAACAGAACCCAGAAATGATTGGGAGTGCCCTGCTGCAATCACTAGACAGCGCTCCCCAGGGAATCCTTCACATCGCCTTTTCTACCCGGGAACATATTCATGCTCGCCAAAGACCCAAACAGCAGCTGACTTTGCGGTGGGATGGAGACCTGAATAGAGACCTGAAGAGCTCAAGTCCAAAAACATTATGCGTGGCCAGCGACAGGGGGGCTCAGGTGCCGGGTACCACCCCTGGGATACCTGGGACTGACTTTCAGCACTGCTGAGCGCCTGTTGCTTCCGTTGGATTTGGCAGGACTCAGTGCTTTCAAAACCCGGGCCTAGGGCATCTCATCAGGTCGGGCATCCCAACACCCAGGACAGAATTAGCAGGCACTTTTAAACATTTAAACAAAAAATCCCCGTCACACCCAAACAAGCAGGAGGCAGGAATTTGGATAACGTGGTGGGGGTGCTGCTGCCTGTGGCGAGATCAGCGTCCTAGAAAAGGGCACCAGAGTCCAGCTTAGACTGAGCTGCTCCCAGCTTCAAACCCAGGTGTGATCCAGGGGTTGCAAAACCCACAGCAAATTTGCATAACTACTGATGCTACTTAATACATGCAAATGAGGCGGCAGCAAAACGGGACAGAGGGGATGCGATATATTCTGCTAAACACGGGGGCATATTTGTTTTTATTTAAAAATTCAAAAATAGTTAGCGCCTGAAGCCATGGGCTGCTGTGTAGGAGCTTCCCAGGCATGGATCTTTTGGATTATTTAGAACAGACATTAAACACAGTTCTGCTGAGGGCAGCGTGCTAGCCCAGCTTCCCATATTAGATAGGCCTAAGGGCTTTTTTTGTCTGAGAAGCTGTATCAAACCATGCCGAAGGACAAAATGGAGAGCTCAGGTGCCACTGGCTGGGGAGAGCACTGCATCTCTAAGGTCGCTGGGTGGTCTCAGTTTTTAACCAGCTATTTGGGGAACTTAGGCAGGAACCCACAGAACAACCCCCTTAAGCTGGGCTGCTGAGCAGTGCACAGGGGCACGTGCCTTGCATTGCAGCCTCAGCAGAAGCCAAAAACTCAGCCAGGTTAAAGCCACGCTTGTACTGGAACAACATTGGAAGAAACCCAGTAGCCAAATGCCAGATACTCAAATGCAGATGTTTAAATGATGCAATCACTTTGATAAAGCTCAGGGTTGCCATTTCTCTTCCCTACCCCGCTGAGCAAGGGGTGCAAAGTTCCATCTGCATTGCGTTCCCTGGGGCTCCCTGCGGCTTTTACTGCAAAGGAATAACTGCAAGGTTTTGACAAAGCCAGACTGCAAGGCAGCAAGAACTCCAATTTCTCCTCAGGAACAGGGTTTGGAGACAGAAATAAGATTAACACCAACAGGAGAAAGAAAGAGGAAAGGGGAACTGTGCTAAGCAACTTGATCTCTCTAGGATTTTACACTCTGCCCTTCAGCATGACCTCTGAACTCCTGTGAACTGATAGCAGGCAAGAGCAGAGCCACTGACTTTCTCTCTTTGTAGCAAACCTCGCCATGAACTACAGCAGCATCCATGCAGAAAAACTAAATCAGCCTTTCCATCCTGTTTTCTCCTCTCTTTTCCCCCACATACAGAACTTTATCTATGTGATCGCTTGGGCTTTTACTGATACTATTGGAGGAATAAATGCTGGTGGTCTATTTTATGCCAGGATGCGAAAACAGTTCTTATCCTCGAGAGGAGATAAGTGGTGGTGTCCACTAGCCGACAATGCCAGAAGTTACAGCACAGGGCGGGGGGTAGTCAAGACACACGCACACCCGTGAGTGGTCACCCAGCCGAACTGTAGTTTCCTTAAAGGCATCTTGGAAAAAGTCTATTACATGACTATAAAAGTTGGGCAGAGAGCAAGGCAGGGTAACAGCTTATGGACCAATTCAGAGGCATGAGCTCTCATAGGCCACAGCCTACTTTGACAAAGCAAGCTGCTATGTCAGAGTACTGGTAGCATTTGACAAAGTAGTCTGTAGCCTAGGAGAGCTCACACCTCTCTGAACAAGATGCCACCTTGTCCTGTCTTCTGCCTAACTTCGGAGCAACATGGCCAACTACCCCTCATTATCAACCACCTGGAGAAGAATCCAGCCCCCAGATGTCTTCTTCCAGCAACATCTTTCTCTCCTGTCTGCAAAGCAATGTTTGCTTGCTAAGCATTTGCCTTGCATTCCTCACCACCCTATCCAAGCACTTCTCTAAGCCTCCATCACTTCAGGATTTGCTTTGTTAAACCCTAGCGAAAGTGAAGCACGTACCTTCCTCCAGGTGCAGGACAAGGAACTGGCTCTCTCCTGGCTCACTCAAATGAGCACTGATGCGTTTCAGAGACAGGAGTGCAGCAGATGTGTCCCCTGCAGAGCAGAGACCAAATGTCTCCGGAGGGGCTTCTTCCCAGCCAGCTTGTCTCACCAACTTGATGAAGTCACTTTCATAGCTGGTAAGGACACCCATGACTTCCAAGTGGCTCTGGCCCAGGCCATCCTTCCTGTCCATTTTCAGCCTGCACACTGGGCCTTCTAGCCCACCCAAAAGCCATGGGTGAAGGCTGGCATTACGCTGCAGATAGGAGAAGACTCCTTGATCTTCAGTAACGAGCTGGTTGTGTTTTACTACTTTGGAATCCCCTCTTGGGTCACCAGCCTTCAAGAGCAGGTGAGTCGCAACTGTGGCTCTGCCCTTTGAGACTAGAAAGTTTCCTGCTCCCGCATGACTACTCATATTTTCCTCCTCTCCAAGTCCTAACTCTCTTGAAACAATACTCTGCAGTTCAGCAGGTGAAAGGCCTTCCCCAAAGCTTCCTATTCTAGGTAGAGCTGTAGAGGGGAACAGCAGCAGCAGGCACTGCAAAACCCCCCTAAGCACAGGACCCATGTTCCAGCTTTGAGCAGCTCTGAACTCAGCTGTTAAGAGTTGCCAGAATCCATCTTTTAAACCTTTGTGCAGGACAGGAGGACTCTATCTCCCCTCAGAAGGCAGTGACCTTGAGTTGACAATGCACAACACACCTCCCTTGAGAAATTCAAAGGCCAATGTGCTATAAAGGAGGGAGGGCCAATTCAAAGGAGGCTTTCTGTTCTATTTTTGGCTTTGCAACCAGTGCTTGGAAACGTTATAAAATTGGAACTGTTTACCTTCTTTTTAGGGATTCATGTCCTTGACTTAAAATGTTTTTAAAGAATGGTATATGTGTGTGGGGAGGGGGAAGGGAAGGGAGGAGAGAAGTTTAGATTTGAATTTAATTTGGCACAGCTTCCCTAGGGTTGGAAACACCAAGGGGAATTTGTTCGAGAGAAAGCAGCAGGTACTAAACAGGGACAATGAGAGGAATTAAGAGAAAGTACATTTGTGTAATCTATAACCTTCCTCTACTGGAGTTTCCCTGGATTAAACTGGCAGCTCCTGCGCTTCCATTTTGCAGGCAGTTTAGACGGGTCATCTTATGACAACTCCAGTCTTTCACAGCTCCTTCCAAAATGCTCACCTCCTTGGGTCTCAAAATAATTCTTTTCTGCAGAACCAGAAAGGAATTTTTAGGGGGAAGCAATGGAAACATCATACCTTATTTAAAACTAGACTGGATAAGGTCACAAGAAGCAGTTCTGCAATGGCCTAGAGGGATGAAACACCCTAAACCCAGACTTATCACACACACAGGATTTCTTAATCACTTCTTCTGTTGCCAACAGTAAATATGCTATTTAGGATAGCTAATTCTGGCCATCACACCCATTCTAAGGAACTGTTATGCCTGTTTCTTTCCCCAAACGGTGCATCTTTAAAACAAAACATACAAGCAGACTTTTCCTGCTAGCTCACAGGACTTTTGCTGTCAAACTCTACTCATGGGCTGACTACAGCTCACACAATAGCTGGTTTTACCACATGCCTGGAATCCAATGGAGCAACGGGTTCCTGGATCCAGAATTCTCTTCTGCAATGGGCCCTACAAACTAGGGCTCCAAGCCTTCTCCGGGTAGCTACAAATGATGACGACTCCAAGCTTTGTCCAGGTAGGATATTTTGACTTGATTAAGATAAAAGTTAAAGCCTGTTAAGACTCATGGTTCAGGACAGAAGCCAACACCGTTTTTTTACAACTCCAGAAGTCATTATAACATTTAGTTAAATGTTCATTTAAAAGAAGTTCCAGATTGATTTTCTCTGCTTAGAAATTTTACTTTATGCTTACTTTGTCTACACTTCTGACACACAAGCCATGTGTGATGGAGCCATTGTATTACCTCTGCATTGGACACAAATCAAACAGCCTATAGGGCACAAATCTTCTGCCAGCAATTTGTCAATGGCTTACCTACACAAGGAAGTTAATTCAGTTTAAGATAGAGCAGTATTTAAAGTGCAATAGCTATTCTTAATTATTTCCCTGCATACATATTCTTATTCCAACCTATTTAATCCACTTCCAAAATGGATTTTGCTCACACAGATCAAAGTAGATGACCTACGATAAAAGGACACATCCAGGGAGCTATTCTGGATACCAACCCTAGAGTAACCTCTTGTGTACACAAACCCCTAGATATGCATGGCAGCATCTAGGTAGGAACAAAAACAAGTGCAACTGTGTTGCAGGCAATGGGAGTGGATGTTGATCACCCTGGGCAGGACCCATCTTCAGTGAAAATGGTGAAAACAGTTGCTACTGAAATGCAGACAACTTCCTGTATTTTTGATGGGAGCTGGCCTGTTGCCCACTGATGTGGTGGTAGGGGGTATTTATCATGTGACAATGTGGACTGTGAACTATTTCTCCAACCATTACCACCCCCAGCTACATAAACTCATGAGGAAATAAATGTCACGCTGGAGCTCAGGAACTCATATTACTTTAAATTCACGGTTAATTAAATTAAAAGTAGATTTCCAGGTAACTCCAGTCATTTGTCTGCTAACTGGATATGTTCTGATAAGCTACTAAATATTTCAAGACTGATAATTTTCCTACCTCCTCATTGTGGGACCTTTAAACAACACTTGTATGAAAATAAAGGCAACAGTTTTACTCAAAAAGAGAAGCACGTATGCAGAAAATAAAGTTGAAAGCCTTTTAATGAACCTATGAGATTTAGGCAAAAACCACTGGCATATAAAAAGGACAAATATTTATCTCTGAGCAGGTTGTGGTGTGCAAGTAAAATACACAAATCAAAGAAGTCCACTGAGAGAGTCCAGGAAAAGCTTTTCAGTTGGAAGGAGGTGGAGGGGGAATAGTCCCTGGCCCCTCCGTGGGTAGAGGTGGTCTCATCATTGGTGGCAGAGGAGCAGGAGGAGGTACCCCAGGAGTTGGTGGCAACTGAGGTGGTGCTGGGGGTGGTACAGGCCCAGAAGGAGGCATGGGCGGCAAGGGCATGCCTCCGGGAGGAGGTGGTGGTGGCAGAGAGTCCGGCAAGGGTGGCCTGGGGGGCAAGCCATTCATCAGTGGGGGTGGTGGAGGCCTCTTCACAGTTGGAGGCCCAGGAGGGATACTTTGAGGAGCTGGAGGCTTCTCCATCTTGAAATGGAACTGAAGAAAAAACTAGAGCAAAAAGAGGGAGAGATTAAAAATAAATCGCAAGGTGACTGATCTGCCCAGTTCTCTCCTGATGCCTCAAGAAACAACACTAGGGCCATGTCCACATGAACACTGACGTTTGTTTTCCCAAGGACAAGTAGCAGCAGCACACCTGTGGTGCGTGGCAGGTTACCCCAGGTGGGGTAAGGAAGGCCAGTTCCAGCAACTGTGCTGTCCCAAGCAGCTTTACCTGGGGTCTTGGAGGCCAGGGAAGCTGCAGCTGGAAGCCTGGCCAACAGCCAGAGTGGCTCGAGCTGGCCAGGCTGGTTTTGGGCGGCACGTGCTGCTGCCACGTGCCCTGCCCCCCTTTTTTTTTTTTTTTTTTTTCCACATGGGGTTTTTTTGATCCCAGGATCTCCACGTAGCAGCACAGAGGTAGCAGCACATGGAAAGCCTATATGTGCGGTGTGTGGCGCAGCAGTTGGGTCGGCAGCACCACATACCTCACAGCTGCACTCATCTGGACGTGGCCTAGGTGTCTGCTTCTGAACCAACATCTGTAATCCATCCTGATCCAGCAGGCCAGATCACTTTCGGACACACTTCTCTAGTCACCAACTACAGAAATGATCCCTGAGAGTATATATATTACACACTGCCTCTCTACCCATATTACATACTGCCTCTCTAACCATTGCTTTGCACCAATGGTCCCACTTGTCATTCTAAATCCTCACGCTCTTTGGGCTAGGAACAAACGCCAAGCTAGAAGTGACCAATTTAGCATCCTACACCTATCTGAAAACATGCACATGCCACACCATACTGCAGCCCAGAACCTCATATGAGGGCACGGTCCTCGGGCCCACACTGTGCAACATCTTCATCAGTGACTTGGATGAGGGGGTGAATAGCATCTTGTTCAAATTCGCAGATGACACTAAGATGTGGGGGGAGGTGGGCACTCTAGAGGGGAGGGACAAGCTGCAATCAGATCTGGACAGGTTACAGAGGTGGACGGATGAGAACAGGATGGGTTTCACCACTGACAAATGCAAGGTACTGCACCTGGGGAGGAAGAACCAGCAGCACACCTACAGGCTGGGGAACTCCCCTCTCACCAGCACAGAGGCAGAAAAGGATCTTGGAGTCATTAATGACTCAAAGATGAACATGGGCCACCAGTGTGGGGATGCAGTCAGAAAGGCTAACCGTACCTTGTCATGCATCCACAGATGCATCTTGAGCAGGTCCAAGGTGGTGATCCTCTCCCTCTATGCAACATTGGTCAGGCCACAGCTGGAGTACTGCATCCAGTTCTGGGCGCCGCACTTCAGGAGGGATGTGGCCAGCATTGAGAGGGTCCAGAGGAGGGCCACCCGCATGATCAGGGGGCAGCAGGGCAGGTCCTATGAGGATAGGCTACGGGATCTGAACCTGTTCAGCCTCCATAAGAGGAGGCTGAGAGGGGATCTGGTGGTCCTCTATAAACTGGCCAAGGGAGACCAGCAGGCAAGGGGAGAGTCCCTGTTCCCCCAAGCACTACCGGGAGTAACAAGGAACAACGGCCATAAGTTGACAGAGAGCAGATTGAGGCTGGATATCAGGAGGCACTACTTCACAGTCAGGACAGCTAGGATCTGGAACCAACTTCCAAGGGAAGTGGTCCTCGCTCCTACCCTGGGGGTCTTTAAGAGGAGGCTAGACAGACCCCTTGCCGGGGTCATCTGACCCCAGTACTCTTTCCTGCCAGTGGCAGGGGGTTGGACTTGATGATCTGCTCAGGTCCCTTCCGACCCTATTAACTATGAAACTATGTCACTGTGCAATAGCTGGCTCTCGGAGGTGCCCCCCAATGATACTAGCGGCAGAACATGATGCTAAGTACTAACCCCTTAGTGCCATGCTTTGGAAAGTCAGTATATCCCATGTGGCAATATCTGCCTCCAAGCCTAGCTCTCAAAATAGAAACAAAACTGGAAAATTCCTCAAGTACAGCTCTCTCAGCTTCATGTTTTTATTATTAGTGAACTTAGCATTGGTCATGGGAGCTGGTTTGATAGCCCTGCACAATTACATTCTTTATTCTCTACAGTGAACATGAGGAACACAGCTAACTATCTTTCTCTGCAGTTAGCATGTACTGCAGTAGCTCTACAAATTTTACCCAAAATACATTTCAAACCTCATCTCTAGGGACTTTTGGGGGCACAAACGGAATATAGTCTCACAAAACCATTCAAGTCTCAACCTGCCAACTGAGACTGCAAGCAAGAGGACTTGCAGAACTGGTGTAAGAAAAGCTGTAAGGGTATGAAGGCTTGTCTTCTGGGAGGAAAGAAAGCTCATTCCATATGTGCCAAAAAGAATAATTAGACTGCAAATCAAAATGTTTCAACACAAGACTAAGAAAAGAACTCCACCTGCATAAGTCTTATGCCTGTAA